TTTTACTATTCATTAAGAGGCTATATTATGAGTAATTAATTAATATGGACCGTATGCTTTTTGAGAATATTAATTCAGTTTAAAATTGGTTAATCTAATTTACAGTCTATCAGCTACAGCTTCACAATGTGCAAGGTAAAAAAATATAAGATGCTGTTTTTTGCATATGAACAAATATATAAGCACATGAAGAGGACTAGACTTTGATTAGCATGCACGTATAAAGAGTGACCTTGAACTGCATTCTTACACTTTCATGAAGGGCACCTCAGTCATTGAACAGCTCTCTTGAGATAGCATGTTGACAGGAATCACTGTCTTGTTGAGATGAACAGTTTGTGTTGCTAACCCTAGCTTTGGGAAAAAATTCACATAAATTAAACTTGTGGTCCATTTGTTCCAATTTTTGGTTCATTATGAGAGGAATACTCATGTAGTTGTGGGAATTAATTCAAAACCTTTACCATTATATTTTCTTTGCCATTTGAAGTATAAAAATGCTTTGCTAAACCAGAGTTTACCAACCCTTTTCTTGCATTAACCTCTTTTAAAAGAATGCTTTTCTTCATTGACCCCTTTACCTTTTCATCTATAACATACAACATAATCAAAATATAAATAATTGTGCATAAATAAAGATAAGAATTAAACTAAGGAAACGACTGAACAATTGAGAAAAAATTCTTTATTAGATTTAGGTTTTCTTATTTTTTATATTCTAATTGTTTTTAATTTTACAAATATTAACAAGTTTTCAGAAACACAATTACAGATTCTAGTTGTACAGAAGCTCGATTTTAAATAATGTTCCCTATCGTTGCTCTGTTTGATGTATTTGATACATTATTTTTAATATTTGGCATATATTTGCTTAGCTTAATTCTTAAAGCATCTCTTTTCAAATATATTCAACCTTTTCCCCCCATATTAAATAATTGACTTTACTAAAACCTGGTTCTACTAGGTAAGAAGAGGAGAAAGCCGATAATGTTGGTTTGGTAATGACTTTTATTTTGGGATATTTCTCTCGGATGAATTTAAAATTCCAAAATTTAGTGCACCCATGTATTTTGAATAAGACTTTAAATGATGCAGCCTTATAAAAATAAGCAATTATTTATCAGTACTATTATCAGTATACCATCCGTGCAACTTTTTGTAATCAGTGGCATAGCTGCCAGCTCTCCTGGTTTTTCATCCCATTACCTGGTCTTCCAGTAAATCACTAAATCTCCCAGTTTTTAATTTGTAGCCTTTCTTAAGGAAAATGTTTCCCAGCAATAAATGAAATTTATTGAATTAATGCAGCTTAAATTAGGTAATTCCATTCCCCTACACCTTAATGATTTTCGGAATAATTTTTCTTATTAAACTTTATTTCGTCTGAATAGTATTTTTTCTCATTACATTTTATTGCTATTACTAAATTTTTCATATTAAATTTCATTTCATCCAAGTTGTAATAATCTGCTGTATGTATTTGTGAATTTTTATGTGAAGCTTCAAGCCATGGAGACTGTAATTGCCACTCGTGAAGGCTCTATCAGCTACTGGATATGAACAATTTTTTTTTTAAACCTATCATAGGTGTCCAAATATTTATTGGTAGAAAAGTAGTAAAAGATGAAGACGATGAAGGTGAAATAGTAAGGATGAGCTGTGATGGGGTACTGGAATGTATAGGCAGGTTATTAGAATATATGTGTCAACAAACTTGTCCAAGTTTAAAAACATCATAACTTCATGCTATGTTCATCACACATTGTAAAACATGTTGTCATGGCTTTCAGGCTAAGGGGCACACCACAGCAGACTTCCTAGGAAATAACTGAAAAATCTTCCAAAATTTTGTAGCTATTTGATATACATATTCCACAAAGAACTTTATGAAAACAGCTTCAACATTGTGGGTAAGCTGTTAAAAAAAAATAAAAAAAAAAAAAAAAAAAAACTTTTTATATGGTCTGTGAAGAATAAAAATTCTGTAAATAAAAAAATAAACTTTTTATATGGTCTGTGAAGAATAAAAATTCCAAATACTATTCATTATGCTTTAGCAAAAATTAAATGCAAAAAGTTTCATAAATGTACATACAAAATTTTCAAATATTGAAAACAAATATTTATATATTGAATGAACAGATATTTTTTATATTATTATATTAATTTCCTTTTAAAATCAGAATTTTTGCTTTTGAGACACCCTGTGTGAAAAGTTAGATATTTCTATTTGCAGTAATTTCTACCCACAGTTAGCTTTCTTAAAATTACTTTATATTGTGAAACTTTGAAAGTATATGCAAAATCAATATGAAAGAAAAAATAAATACCTTTTTCTGGCACTCTGTCTATGATAAATGGATGTGAAAATTCTGAATGTAGTGTTTTCCTCTGGAGAGCAAAATTAAAATATTTAAATAATACAAAAATAAATGAAATGGGCAGGACACCACAATTACACCACTGGTCATACAAGTATAACCCAAGCACATTAACTGTGTTGATACATTCCAATTTTGATGGAAACATCCTGGGAGATGGATCTGAGGGTCTCTTACCTCTCTTTCCCTCCCACCAAACCACTCAAGAGATCTTCCAACTGAGTAGTATTTTAAGTGATCTCATGCCACACAGACACTGTATACTTACAAACATCCATACCTTCTCTGGTCTTCAAATCCAGGTCCAATCATAAGCAGCTAGCATTGCTAACCACTGCTGATACGAGGGCCATCCAGGAAGTAGATTACGTTTCCGTCTGTGTCCGCTAGGGGCGGGGCTAGCGCGGCCATCTTGGGGTCAGAGCGTTGCGCAGCTCAGTCTGCATCTAGCCGTGCTAGTGAGAGGTTCGTGCTGTGCTCCGTTCAGATACTGTGACGGTTTGAAATGTCTGCGTTAATTGAAAATCCCGCGAGCTGCGAGGTGCGCTCAGTAATAAGGTTTCTGACTGCAAAAAACTGTAAACCGATAGAAATCTATCGGCAGCAGCTTCGTGAAGTGTATGGGGACAACATTATCACTGAAGGTGGAGTGCGTCAGTGGGTCATAAGATTTCAAAATGGCCGAACCAATGTTCACGACGAAGATCGAAGTGGGAGACCCAGCATAGTGACCGCCGAACTTCTCGAAAAAGTCGATGCTAAAGTCCGTGAAAATCGAAATTTCACAATAACGGAACTTTCTTTGAGTTTTCCACAAATTTCGCGAAGTTTGTTGCACGAAATCATCAGCGAAAAGCTTGGTTACCACAAGTTTTGTGCAAGATGGAAGGCAAGAAGAGGTAACGAAGTGGTTGAAGGCGCAGGCGGCCGAATTTTTCGACGAAGGAATTTCCAAGCTCGTACATCGCTACGATAAATGCCTTAATTTGTATGGTGACTATGTAGAAAAGTAGTATTTGAGTGTGGCTTTCATCTGTATATAATAAAATTTGTTTCCTATACTTTGTTTATTTTTTTATTCCAAAACGTAATCTACTTTCTGGATAGCCCTCGTAGGTGGCTAAGAAGTGACATAAAATCAAGTAGCAGAAAGAACCAGGTATGTCATGTATAGTGACATTCTGTGTTATGAGTTGTAGTGAGCAGTTACATTTCCATGACTTGCAGTTTTTGAGGGAAATATGACCGAATTTATCATGCTACATTCAGAGCTAAACTTTAAATATTATAAAATGTAAAGCTGATTATAGCACAAACTACTAATTTGACAAAAATAGTATTTATGAAAGTCTCAAATTTACATAAATCTTGGACAAAAAAAAAAAAAAAAAAATGGACATTTCCATATGCCTATGATATGTCCATATGTCCACTGGGCTGATTGAGGAAATTTAACTTGCGTTTTTCATGTCTCGGAAGCACAACTTATGATATGTATTAAATTAATATGTAGCATTGTTCTAACATAGGTATTTTGATGCAAAATCTGACTTTTTCTGAAATAACGTACTGTTTTTTTTTTTTTTTTTTTTTTTTTTCCTTCTCCTCCATATTTCGATTCTGTGACTCAAAATATGCTCAAATATTAAATTTTGTAAAATTTGATGAGAAACTTGGTGATAAATTAAAAAACTTAGCTTGATGTACTTTTTTCAGTTTTCACCAAGAATTTTTTCAATTTTTTTGTGTGCAAGGTGTATGTATATTGGTTGTTTGCCAAAAGGCTTTGAAATTTTATTTTGGTCCACAAGTAGCTGAATTAATAAGACTACTGAACACTGATTGAAGTCCTGGCCACTGAGTTAGTTGCTTGGCCATTTCTGTTTTTTCCCTAGACAGCCTTTGCATGCTTTGCCACAATTAAACATACAAGCAGCCTCAGATCCATCTCCCAGGATGTTTCACCCAGCCATTCCTGAACTTATTCAAACATGTGAAGATTTGAAAATGGCAATTTTGAGCACGTTTTAAGGTAAACGTAAATTAATATTTGAACATTTATGATTTCTAAAATGAAGTTTAATGTAATTTTTCATTCCTGTTTTTCTCAGTTTTTGTTTTTTTATTTGATTCTGGCAACACATAGAAGGACTATCTTTGTAAAGGGGAGGATATCTTTGTGGAGGACCTTTTAAAGGGAACTGGCTTGTATACACATTACGCTTAGTGAAAACCATGAAAACACCCATGCATCCAACCTGTTCGCTTAGAATCTAATTTAGATCGAACTGTTGGTGCCAAGAAGTAGGGGTTGCAGTGTAGTCTTTTGTTATATCCTTTATATGTAAATATGCAGATTTCTCATTTTTCTCTCTCTTGTTAAAAGACAATTTATTGCTTTTGAGGGTACAATGTTCCTCATGATTGATTTAATATCATGTAGTACTCATGTTTATCTTAATCAGCAGAAAAAGTAGAAAATTTAGTATATGAATTATTACTGTTGGTGAAAAATAACCTGATTAATTGGATTTTCAAACATTATGAGGAGAAATTGTAAGTATACTTCTCTTTGAAATTAAAACTTACTCATGGTTCTTAAAACAATTTTTTTTCCAGGGAGAAAATTGAAACTTTTTCTGAACTAGCAAATATATTTTCAGAGGAAAATAATCAAACTAACTGTAGAACACTCTTAATTCGGGTATGTACAAATATACTTTTATAATTATTCTCTTTATGCATTTCTGTCTTTGTATATTTGAATGCATATAAAATTTTCTTCAGAATGTGCCTACTTGAAAAGGCTTTTCCTAAAAGTACAGGATTTCCAATTGACATGTAGGCTTTTTCTTCCATTAATTCTTTGATATAGAGCCCTAGTTTTCTAATAACTTAACAGTTTTTATAATGTGCTTTTTTTCCACTACAGCACAAAAATCAGATCTAATTCTGTAGCACCTGCTTAATGAAATTATCTTACAAGGAATGTTTCTAAATAAGGATAAGATCTGTGTTGTGCATTCTTTTGTTTGCAAATTTTAACTGGCTGTCTTAACTTTTGCAAGTGAAAATTCAACCTTTTTGCAAGGTGGTTGCAATTTTTACTTGTCTATGGGGTAAACACCATAATTTTTCACTTCTTTAAGACTATAAATTTCCTTTGACCCTTGACAAAGGGGTGGAAACATGGCAAGGAGTCTCCTCACTCAACGGCAGATGAGAAAGACTAACATTTTCAGACTGGATGGCAACCATGAAAATGTAAAGTTGGGTACAACAATAAATAAAGTCCTTCCCAAAGTGAGCATTCTTTTAATTTAATGTGTTCATTTATTTCTTTAGATGAAAGTATTCTGATGATTAGAAATATTTTATAGTGCATATTATTGATATTGTGATGAACAGTAGTTTTAGTTTCCTCCTTTATTATGTCTGTGTAAAGAACATTTGCGTTCTTGAACTTTCTACATTTTTATTTCTTACATACAGCTTACACAATTTAACTTATATTAACAGATGGTGAAATTTGTATAAATCTTTTAAAGTGGATTTTTTGGGGTACTTTTTACAGTGATTTTCATCATCTAGTTCATTATTTACATAGTACTGTGTTTGAATTTAATATCTTCGTGGCAAACCAAAAGGTATTTTAGTTGCAGGTGCAAGGAAGAAGAAGTATTTGATATTTATAAGAATGTTCAGAGTGCAATAGATTTTCGATGGCTCTATTTATCCACTTGATACCTAACCTAAACTATATTATCAGTACATTAAACAACTTTAAATATGTATCTTTAAGACTCTCTGTCATTTAAACTCACATATAATTCTAATAAAATTAACCATAGGCATGTACAGTGGATGGACAAAATATGGAAACACCTTGTGAAATGCATGTTCGAAAAGAAAGATTGATTTTAATGAAATATGTAGGTGGCGCTGGCGTTTTTGACTAATGTCGCCACCTATACTACTTCGTAAATGTGCTAAACAGTTCAGTTGTTGTCGGAGTACTGTTATGTGAGATTGTCATTGCATTATGTCAGAGTTAACAGACTTCGAACGTGGGCAAATTGTTGGAGCACGTATGGTAGGTGCCTCCGTAAGCAAGGTAGCCGAGGTGTTTCAAGAGATACTGTATCGAAGATTTATTCCACATATTTGAAAAGCGGAAAAACATCATCTGCTAAATCACAGCGCGGACGAAAGTGTGTCCTGAGTGATCGTGACAGACGATCATTAAGGATAATTGTGACGAAAAATAAGACCACAGCTGCAAAAGTTACTGCTGAAATGAATGTTGTGTTATCGAACCCTGTGAGTACCAAAACAATTAGAAGGGAGCTTCATAAACAGGGAATTGCTGGCCGTGCTGCAATTGAAAAGCCACTCATCAGTGATGCTAATGCCCGTAACAGGAAAAGGTGGTATTTAAGTCATAAAGCCTGAACTATAGAGCAGTGGAAGCGAGTAATATGGTCTGACGAGTCTTCTTTCACATTGTTTCCCATGTCTGGCCGAGTTTACGTCTGGAGAACGCCATCTCAAGCCTATAATACAGACTGCTTGTTGCCAAGAGTGAAACATGGCGGGGATTCTGTTATGGTTTGGGCAGCCATATCATGGTTCTCTGCTAGCCCCATGATAACTGAGTCAGGGCACATGACTGCCAAGACTTATGTGAATATTTTGGCCGGTCAAGTTCATCCCATGGTACAAACTTTGTTCCCCGATGGTGATGGTGTCTTCCAAGACGACAAAGCCCCTGTTCACACAGCTCACATTGTCGAGGACTGGTTTTCTGAGCACGAGGATGAGTTGTCCCATCTCCCCTGGCCACCAGACCTGAATATTATCGAACCTTTGTGGTCTACATTGGAACGGAAAGTGCATTCTCGTTATCCACCGCCAACATCGTTATCTGAACTTGCCACCGTTTTGCAGGAAGAATGGCATAATATTGGCAAACATACAGGAACTGTATTTATCCATTCTGAGAAGACTGCAAGCTGTTTTGGATGCCAACGGGTTTCCTACACCATATTAAGCAAAGAGACATGTTTTTTTTTAAAGGTGTTTCCATATTTTTGTCCAACCCCTGTATATACATATGTGTCAGTTTTTACACTGTTATTTATTGCTCATATAATCTAATGTATTCTCTCTTGAAAGCAGATTGCTTAGATTTGGGCTGTGAATTTAGGAGCTACTGGACTGCGAATGCAGGAATAATACTCACAAACCCCTACTGCTCCTTTTCTTTTTCTTTTCTTATCTTCATTCAACAACTATTGACAGCACAAGTGAGAGTAGGCAATGTTTTTGTTGTAAATATAATAAACCACTTTTCTTAAGAAGCTGAAATGAAGCTTTAATCAACTAAAACTGCACATAAAACAGAACAAATGTTATATTGTAAGAACAATATTTAAACTAAGAATGACTGTTGCCATTCCATGTAATATAATTTTAATGTTGCGAATAATATTAAATATTATGTTACATCCACCCCTAAGATTATTAATAAGTTACATAGTCTGCCAGATAAGTAGGCTGATGTCAGTGCCTTTTCGGTTGCAAGGATTCACTCCTCATGCAAGTTATCATTTGAAGTCTTTTCAAAATCCTCATGTCTGCTAGAGTCCTGTAAATCACTGCCTTGGGGATCCTCTTCTGTTCATTTTTTTACAGTTTTCGAAACAGGTTCAGGAGCTTCAGGGGCTAAATCTTCATTCTGGTGAGCAAAAGAATCTGAAAGTTGTTGGTTTTCATTAACGGAAGCGTAAATCTGGGTTAGCCTCAATGAGTTCCATTTCTTGCACAATTAGGCGGATATTTATTAGCTTGTGTGTCATTAGCTTCATTAATACTGTTCCGGGTTGTGTTAACCACGTAGGTAAAAAATGTCCATTATATGATCTTCTAGCATGGATGAACATACGTTCATGTGGTGTGGCATTTGTTGTTGCACATAAGAGTGACCGGATCGAAAACAAAACAGGTTGCAGAAGACCCTCCCAACGTTCGATAGCCATGTTCTTTGATTTTAGTGCCAGCTGGATGGTTCTCTGTGTGATTGCATTATACCTCTCTAATTGGTCATTTCCTTGAGGATTACATGCAGTTGTGTGACTTGTAGCTATACCAAGTGCAGTTAAGAAGCATTTTAATTCACAAGACATAAATGAAGATCCTCTATCAGAATGTATGTAGGTTGACATCCCCAAAATTGAGAAAATATTTTGCAGATGACCAGTAACAGTAGCAGATGACACATCAGGGCAAGGTATTGCAAAAGGGAATCTGGAAAACTTGTCCACATTAGTATGAAGGAAACGGGTCCTGGAAGCTGTAGACAAAGGACCTTTGAAATTTAGATTTAATCTTTCAAAAGGTGCAGTTGCTTTAATTAAGTGTCCTTCAGATCTATAGAATAGAAGTTTTACTGCACTGCAGCATACACATGAATTAGCAGGTCTTCTAATTCCTTCTAGTGAAAAAGGCAAATTTTTAGATCTTATCCAGTGATACATTCGAGTTATTCCAGGATGACAAAGTTCATCATGTAGTGCCTTAAGATCTATTTGTGGTTTTATAGCTGCATTTATTCTTGATAAAGTGTCTACAATTTCATTTTATTTCCAGGGCGATATATAATATCAAATTTGAAACAAGCAAGTTCTAACCATAGACACATAATTTTCTAATTTTTAATTTTACTGGAGTGCTGTTGATCAAATTTAAATGCCACGGATCTTTGATCGGTAAAAACTTACCTGTCAAAGATCCATGGCCAACTTACCGAAGTGCCTTCCAATTAAATAGTGTCTCAAGTTTCGTAAAAATTCAGGAATAGCATATGCTTTTTTTCAGTAGAAGAGTGTTTTAGTTCTGAAGAGTTTAGTGTTCTAGAGAAGAAAGCTATAGGACGACCAGCTTGACTCAGGGTTGCTCCTATTTCAAATTCAGAAGCATCAGTTTCAACTCTGAATGGTAGATTATCCTTAATTGCCGTTAAAGGAGCTTTGGCTATATCTCTCTTAAGAGAACTCAAGGCTTTCTCAGTATCTTTACTAAGAGGAAGAGGTCCTTTAGTCAAAAGAAGGTGAATCTTTTCAGAAAAATTTGGAATCCAACGGCAATAATGAGCAAGCATTCCCAGTGCTCGCTGTAGAGATCCTACATCTTTAGAAATCGGTAAATCCATTACCGGTTTCAGTCTATCAGGATCAGATTTTATTATATTATTAGCTACAGAGTAGCCCAACAGTTTTACAGATTTTGTTTAAAATGTGCATTTTTCCTCATTCAGGGTTATATTATACTTCTTAGCAGCAACCATAAATCTCTTGAAGTTATTATTATGTTCAGCTTTATTCTTGCCAAATATAGTTTCATGATCAAGATAGGGAAAGGCTTCTGATAATTTTTCATTTAAAATTATTTCATAAATTGTTCTTTGGAAAGAAGCAACTCCGTTTGTTACACCAAATGGAACACGTAGAAATTGATATAGTTTACCATCAGCTTCAAACGCTGTATAGTGTTTCTCTGATTCTTTGATAGGAACCTGATGATAAGCAGATTGGAGATCAATTGTAGTAAATATTTTATATTTTGATACTTGTGAAATCAACTCTTCAGTTTTGGGAAGAGGGTAAGCATCAAGCATAGTTAATTTGTTTATAGTATGCGAATAAT